TGGTAACTTCAGGAAAATACTCCAGTGGTGATAGCAAGATAGCTATGAGTGAATATATTGTAAACCCCTTGATGATGATTAGCATCCAAGTGTATGATGACACTGCTGTGACTTGTTACTATTTGAAGTTGAGTAATAATAGAGGAGTTTCAAGTTATTACAGCACAAGCCTGGCTGCATGTTCACAAGCAGAGATTGCAGAGTAAAAAACTGTAGCAAAATATTTCTAGTTGCCGCTTTTCTCCTAATTTTAACAGTCAATCTGCAGACTTTAAAAATGTGAACAGAGAAAATATTTTATTGCATCCTTATTATAAAAGGCATAACTTCCCTCTTCATTCATATTATTGATGTACAAAGTCTAATTTCAATCTAGGATGAAGATACATAAATAGATTTTTGGGTGTCACATAAAAGTCTTGTTAACTGCTAACTCTCATTTGCTTATGTGGGAGAGTCAGCTTTGGATCATTATAACAGTGGTACAAGATTTAGCTTTGATAAACTCCCACATCCTTTCTAACATTTGTCCTCCAAGGCAAAGATGGATAAATATTAACAGGAATCTCTTGTTTTCTACTTTTTGAGAAAAGGACAACTTTAGTTAGGAACACAGAACAAGTATCTGAATTGTGGCCATGTGACTGCAGGGACTGTGCGACTGTTGTATTTGCAAAGATCAGTAATATGTCACTATTGGTGTCGTATGTTTGAATGGTCACTAAATGAATGAATGGTTTTAATTGAGGATTATTTGTATAAGTCTATCTGCTGCTATTTCTTTCAGCTTGCCAACCTTCTATTCAAATGCTTTTGGAATCTAGAGTTTCCTATTACACTGTTTTGTTTTAGCTTCCATGTTCTTTTTAATTTTTTTTTATTGTATTCAGTTTTGCTATACATTGCCTAGAAATTCTAGAAATCGGGTGGTAATATAAATACCTTAAATATATATTTTTTCATAATTATATTTCCAGGTCTAGCACTGTTGCATTTTTGTCTCAAAAACGCAAGAGAGAAGCTAAAATGAATGTATTGTTCATTACTATTTATGGAGATTCTCAGTCATCAGATCATGGTTGTCCCAAAGGTGCTTTTTAAAGAGGCAACTGAACTTTCCTGTGTTGTTTTTTTTTTTTGAAGATGTTTTACTTCTCATCCAAGAAGTTTCTTCAGCTTGATTGGATGGTGGGGAATGGAAGGATTTATACTCTTTGCAGACTACTGGTCATTTGCATTCTTTTTAGAGAGTCATTGAAGCCACGTGGAGATTTATCTGTGTCATCAGGGTCACCTGAGTAGTACAAATGGGTATGGAGCCTTCTTGGAACTGCTGAAAGGTCTGTGTTGTAGACTGGAGGTAGATGATGTTGTATCCATCCCCATCTGTTGAGAGAAGGCTGTTCAGTTTTGACATAGATGGACTCTTTGACCCCTCTTTTAAACAGCGGTTCCCTCTGTCCAAAATGTGGACATCATTTATCTCCAGTAAAAATCCCTCTATTCCCCACCATCTAGTCAGAGATGAAGAAGCTTGCTTCATCAATAAGAAGCAAAACATTTTATCTATCTATCTATCTATCTATCTATCTATCTATCTATCTATCTAACAATCAATCCAGTTGTTTTTAGTTTGGTGATAATTGGAAACAAAAACTTTTGAATTATGGATGAAATATGATTTAAATCATGATCATTTTAGTTTCCCTTTATGTAATTATCTTTAAATCACTAATAATCTTGCAAACTAATTGAATACGAGCCTGTACATGGGGCACCTATGAGACATTCACAACACAAGCATCATGAGAATAAATATTTTCATAGATGAGGACTATAGCCCATCCACCACTTTTCAAATTCAATTAGATATTCAGTGTTTAAATAATTAAAGAGGTTCTGTGTGTACGTACTTCTGAAAATATTGGTTGGCAGGAACAAGGCCTTTTTATTTTATAAACTACAAAATTCCAGAATCTTCTTTCAAAGTATAGCTTAATTTTCACTTGATACAATTTTCACAGGTAGAATTAAAAACTGTTTGTCCATTAATGTCCAATACTCTATTTAGTTAGTTTTAGGAAAGCATACAATAAATGTAATTTAAACTTGCAAATATTAATGAAAACTGGAGAAGTCCAGGTCTGTTTATTTAAAGGAGCTTTTTGCCCTTTCTCTCTGGAAAACCTGTTGCTGTGTCTTGGCAGTTCTCCCAGAATAGTTGATAAGTGCGCCATTTCCTAGGGATTGACATAAAGTAGTTTCTCACTCTGCAGTATGGATTTTACTGTGGGAAAGAATATTTTCACTGTGATCTGGGTGAAGACTATTATGGTTATTTGCTTTTCTTATATATTACTATATTTTGTTTTTTGTTTTTTTTAAATCCCATCAATTCAAATTCACATTATTTAGAGTATTTGTAGTTAAAGCAGCCTACAGTACTAAAGAAATAACAGTAATTAAGTATAGAGATTTAGGAAGTTTCGCCATGTTTGCAGAAACTAATGAAATTCTGAATTTTTATGTATCTTTCTTGGCATCTGCTTTCTATTATGTCATGAACAAAGCATTGGCTATAGTTATAATTGTAGTTTTAACATATGGAATTAATTGTGGGGGAAAAAAACCATTGATCTCATTTTCTTAACTGGAAAAGTACACAAAATGTCTATAAATATATCTCTACAGTAAATCCTGTCTTTCCTTGATACTCATTTTTTAAGAAAAAAGTTTATGTCAGAATACACACACACACACACACACACACACAAATCTTTAAATTTTATAATGTAAATCATAATCTTATACATTTTATAATTGTATAATCTTTATAAAAGTTAAAGATTTTCAGAAGATCACAAATCACTGTTTTAAAACAAAATTATGTAGAATTATGACCTGTGGCATTATGTTTATTTCAGATTAGTCTCCTTATAGTCTCCAGATTCTCCTTATCTGGCTTTCTACTTTTTCTGACTGTTTGGAGTTGGGGATCTTCTTTTTCCAGAGTTTCTCTGATGTAAGTTTATTTCCAGTACTGTCAAATCTAGGGGCTAGGACTTGGTTATGTTGCTAGTCCAATAAATAAGACATGCACATTTACCATATAAATAAAGTAGTGGTATTGTCAAAACTTTTAGACCAGTGTTTCTCCATATCGGCAACTTTCAAATGGGAATTGAAGTCTGCATGTTTGAAAGTTGCTGAAGTTGAGAATCATTGCCTTCATAAACCATTGTCTATATTGCTGTCAGATCATACTTGTGGTGACTCTGAATTCAATAGTTCAGTTTTTGATTTTGCAATGCTAATTTGTTCATTAACTGGTATTAAACTTTGGAAACCTTGAGGATAGTATTTATTGCATAGAAGCAAAATAGTTGTATATTCTTATCCATTTATAGTTCAGAACAGGGAGCAGCAGTATGGCACTCAGGTGTTTCTCACAAAATGGTACTTGTGGTCCAATTACAATTTCTAAAGTTAAATTTACACAAATCATGGTGAACAATTTATTTCCAGTAACATACATTTTGTGACAAAATTACCAAAATCCTCATTCAGTTTGATGATTAGGAATTTATTTAATATTTTATTTATTTATTAAATTTATAGGTTCCCCATCTCATTGTCATGTAACTCTTGACTATTCAGTTTTGACTGAATAGCTGGGGAGCTAATATGTGAGATCAGGGAGTGTTGTCTATTCTAAAAAGAACTAGAGGTGTGTTCAAGTTAAAGTAATCTACCATTTATTTCTAAATATTTTGAGGTCACAAGTTAAGTACTGTAATGCTTTGGAAAAATGTGACATGAACTCAGGACATGAGGTAGTTGTTTACCTGGTCCAATAGGACTAAAAAACTCTTGAAATTTGGAATTCTCATACTTCAGGCCGAATAAACTTAGGAGATCCATTGATTCTCCATTGGGGCGGGGGGAGTGATGGTTGTAGTCACATTTGACTCATCTTTCCAGTTTTTAAATGTGAATGGAGGCAATATTTCTCCATACCAGTCTTTGTCATAAGCTGTTGTACTTTTCCAACCAGTATGTTCCGAAAATCCCCGTCCCCCCACAATGAGATGTTCAAGGATGCTAGAGTTTGGCTTCTTTTGGAGGAAGAGTTCTATTGTCACTTTTATAGGACGGAGACAAAATTCAAAATAACTTTGTAGCAAAGACAAGATGTTCCATAGAGAAGTTGTGCATCTAATACATATCCAAGATATTTTCAGCATTTAGCTGACTGCTTCTCTATATCTCAGTCTCTGTTACAAACTGCTTCTGTGTTATTTCTTCTTGCTGTCTCTATATGCCTCAGTATCCATACATGGCCATTATCACAGAACAATCTTTTTCTTTTAATTGGGAGGGGGGGGCTGTTACTAAATTTGCTATGTTGATTAACAAAATTCCATTCTGCCCCAATAAGGAAATTTATTTATTTACAGTATTAAATTTATGTACTACCCATCTTGTTATCCAAAGTGATCTTGGATTCTTCCTCCCCTCCATTTTAAAGGTAATCTGATGCCGTGAGCCACTGTAGCCAATGGGAAGAGATTATATTGGACCTCTATTCTAAAATATATGGTGGAGACCACATCTCTTAATGTTTACCTTGTACAGCCAAAGATATTGCTGATTGATTTATACTAGTAATTTTATTGTTAAATGGGAAAAAAGTTAATAATATAATACAGTGCCTTTCAGAAGGAAGAACAATTAACCTGCTTTGAATCACCAAATTCTTTTGCTATTGAAGTAAGCTGAGAAAGATGGTTTTGAGTTTAGTATAGCTTTCTTTAACCTGGTTGTCCTCCGGTTGAGTGTCCTGATAGATTTCCCAACTCTCTGTTTATTTAGTTTCACTGAATTTGCTCGCTCAATAAATGTGGCAGTCTGTCTCTGATTTATGTTAAGAACTAAAGCAGCCATATAGGTATCTTTTGCATTGGCTTATGAGATACTTTTCCCTGTTCTTACTTCACCAGCTGCACTGCAGGCACTGAAAAGAAAAAAGAGGTATGAAAAACAGTTGACCCAAATTGACGGGACTCTTTCCACTATTGAATTCCAGCGTGAGGCTCTTGAAAATTCCTACACAAATACAGAAGTGTTCAAGAATATGGGCTATGCTGCTCAGGCCATGAAAAAAGTACATGAAAACATGTAAGTGGAAAATGTCAAACCCCATGGAAAATAACCTTAACTCTTACATTTACACCTATTTGGTGGGTTTCTTTCTTGCATAAGAATTGAGATGTTTCATTCTTGTATATGATGCTAAGGTTTATCTTCAGGTGTAGATAAAGTTGCTAGGATTTTACTGTTACACTTTAATCTAAGTGTAGTCCTGCAGCAGGTAAGATTAGTGTGGCCTGAACCATAGATAACTGCAAGCTGTATATATTGCTTCAGCTGAAATTTCTGCATGACTCTATCAATAGGCATCTTTTTTCCTTTTATACTGCCTTTCTCCAAATAGAATATACCTGAAGTTAAATGGACTTCAAATTCCAAAATTCTTCTGCTAAGATGATAATTTCTTAGAATTGTGGGAGTTGAGGTTTGTAGATCTGGAAGGTATATACTCTGGAAAAATAGAATCTTCCAGAAATCTTCTAAAAGTTTGGGTCCTTCTGTAAACCTTGCCAGTTCAGCCATTCCAAAAATAGTACAATGACTTTCCTTAAATTAATCCTCAAAATCAGGAACGGTTCATGATGTTCTGGGCATGAAACAGAATTGTTTTATGGCTTGACCCTCTGTAGGACATCATGTTTTAAGTTCTCAAATAGAGTTCCCCAAATCTCCAATATGCAAACTGCTTGAAAACTGATTGGAATTGCTTCTTATGTACATATCTCTTTTGCTTATATTATTCTATTTTTCTATTCACTACTGTTTGTAAGCAGTTCAAGGGCTTTTATAGAATTTAAAGCCCTTATGGAATTTGGAACTTGAATGCCGGAAGGAATTTTCCTGTAACATTATTACAAACTAAACTTGTCTTTGATGGCCCTTTAAATGCCCTAATAAGCCAGGATAATGGCTTATAAAGAGTGGGAGTTTATTAATCATACTTCATTTTATTGAAGTGTTTTATTAAAGTAGATAATTTAATAATATATCTTTGCTATTTTCCCTGACTTTCAATATCCTCCTCCCCAAAATTTAAATCTCTATTTTGCTGTTGCTTTTTGCTTTGATGATTATTGATTTTTTTATGAAAACCTCAGAATTTTACTGGAATCCACTATGCCATCCTATCTATATACAAATGAGTAAATAATTTCTTCTTTCCTTGTATCCTTAGGGACTTGGACAAAATTGATGACATGATGCAAGATATCACTGAGCAACAAGATATTGCCCAAGAAATCACAGAGGCTCTCACAAGAAGAGTTGGTGATGACTTTGATGAGGTATGTTTTGACATCTAAGAACAAAAAATGGCCCTGACTTTAATATTACTGCTAATTTTAAATTTGTTATAAATGTTGTCTAGCTCTTTTCTAAACGCTTCAACATTTTTCCTTAAATGCACTCAAATTCTCAGAGACTAAAGAGAAATTTATTCAAAAATAGAGACTGTACTGTTTTGAAGAAGGTATTCAAAAGAATGCAAATTGCTATGTCAAAACAATGCAAATGCATAATCCCTTTTGCTGTGACAAAATGATTGGATTTCTGACATATCAAATGGAATCTACTGTACATAGGTAATAGCAATGTGTGATACATTCCTAATTTTATCCTAGTTGGTCAGTCATGCCTTCTTCTAGTACGCTCCACTGTCATCATCTGGAATTCAGAGAAGCTGTGTATCACCACATGCAAGGAGGGAAGATTAGTCAAGCTACTATATTTTTCTCTATTTCCATTTTCACCATACTTGCAGACCAGCACTTCTGTTTTGAAGGCCTCATCTATAGGTTGTGATTCAAGCCAGAAAATAGAAGAAACTTCCTATTTTTGCCCATGAAGAAAGTAATGAAAGATGGAAAACAAGATGGACTCCTCTTTGTATTTTGTGATGAATAACTTGTTGGCATACCTCAAGAGGTCTTGTTCCACACTTTCCCCACTTTTCTGTTTTTGCCTTCATTAGGAACACACTTAGTAAGCATATTCAGTATACATTGAACTATTTGTAGTGGAATTCATTAATATCATTTAAATTGAGTAATCTTCTACCACTATACTGAAGCAATTGTCAGCATATATCAACAGCTGCTCCTTTTACAAAACCAGAAAGACTGAAGCCATTTTTGGGTAGTAGAATGACCACAAAATAGAGAACTCTTTTTTAAAACCCTGTAACCTTTTTTGTATTCAACCATATTTTGTATTCAAGTATATTTTCAGTCAATTACCATAATATAATTTTGATATTTTTTATGTTATTTCATTTTATCCTTATCAACCAATATCTACTTAAAATATTTGGTTGAGATCTTGTCCGGTACAAAAAATAAGATATTCATAAAATTGCAGCATAGAATATTTATTCATATACAAGAATCTGGTCAATTAATAATCAGTACTAAATTAGCACTAGATAAGGGTCAATGAAATTCAAGGGGGACTGGACTTGGATATCTTGTGGCAATGCAAGGATTCTAAATTGATGACATGTTTAATTATGCCCACCAGCTGTGCTTGCTGTTCTACAAATTTCTAACAAAATGTATTTGTCCTAAAAATATCCATTTATATAGTTCCCTGGCATGCTGAAAAACCCAAATAAAGTTTTTTAAAGTAAAGGCATTGTTTATTGAAATATAACCTGCCAAATTTTAAATTTCAGGATGAACTGTTGGCAGAATTAGAAGAACTGGAGCAAGAGGAGCTCAATAATAAGATGAAAAATGTTCATTTACCAAGTGTCCCAGCTACCCCATTGCCTTCTCATCCTGGTAAATTGTTTTCTTATATTAATTAGTCTGTTATGAAAGTAGGCTATAGAAATATTGAGGAGAAAAGGAACGATCATAGAAATTTAACATACTTGGATATAATAGTAGCTATCTTGACACATAAGAGTGATATATTGATGTGAATGAGGAGTAATTATGACTGGTCCTCATAGTTTTTGTTGATGCAGTGTTCCCATGGTCACCTGGTCCCAATTTGGACATCTGACAACCAGCCCACAATTATGACATCACAGCATCCTGTGTCATGTAATTACCATTTGCAAACTTCATTCCCAGCTTTCAACAAGCAAAGTCAGTGGGGAAGCTGGCAGAAAGTTTGGTGATCACTTGACTACAGAATACTGCTACTGCAAGAGATTTGCCCAATAATGGCAACTGGAACTGCTATAAGTTTGTACAGTCACAGGATGTTCCTTCCTTGCTTAGTGATGGCCTTCTCAGTTCCAATTACTATTGATGAGAGAGGACTATTAATAGTAATTGCACTTTGGTGAAAGAATACTTTGTACACAGAGTAATAACTTGGTGGTAGCCAAAGCTGAACTTGGATTTGGTCATCTGGATTCAAGTCTTGTGATCTGATGTAAAGCTATGCAAGCAATTCTTATTGAATAGATCTACTGAAGTCATCCCTTTACAAGATGTGTCTTGTAAAGTATGTTTCTTCATTTTTGAGCCACAATGCCTCTAATCCAAATACCAAGTCTTTCCAGAGACAGCAAAAGGGTATCTTTGTTGTTCCAATATGTTGAACAATTATTATCTTTTGTTACAGCATCCTCAAAGAAGAGGGTGGAAGATGATGAAGATATGCAGCAACTGGCAGCATGGGCATCTTAACAGTAGTTTCTCACTGGCTTCAAGGGAATACTACGGGAATATCATGGAAGGACTTCATGGAATAATGCTTATGTTTTATACAGAGTGTAGCTGTGTGGAATTTTGACCCAAATTGGTCTTTGGTGGAATATATGTATATATTTTATATAGTCTTGTATATATTATTTTGTTTTTTTTTAAAAAAGCCAGCATTCTCAAGTATAAACTTTCTCCTTTGGGTATATCTCCAGGCATACCATTTTTATGCTAAAGAAACCAGATAACAAGCAAGGCTGAATTTTAATTAATGTTCTTCTTCTTAGCTGATACTGTTTTAACGACAGAACATGTGTAGGTTGCAAAACCTATTGGTGCAATAGTAAGTGTTATAGTGGTTTGAAAGAGAATTAAAATTGGCTTGATTTTGGAATCTGGTTTCCAAATATTTTTCTAAACAAAATTATTAAAACTCATGGTCCTTAGGTTGACTAGAGAAATCCTGTAGCAATTTTGCACCAAGTTCTTTGTTTTATGTGATTCTTCTATAATGCCAATGGCTTTTTCAAAGAAAAAATGAAGAATTTGTACTTTAAAAACTAAGATAATGGACCTCTGTTGAAAGAGAGGGAGGATGCATTCTCTATGCAGAGGGCAGGACCAAAATAAATGGATTAAAACTAGAAGAAGTGGGTTCAAGGTAGGAGCCTTGGTGGTGCAGCGGACTAAAGTGCTGTTAAGTAGCACTTTAACAGCACTGCCAGCTGCCTGCAATTACTGCAAGTTCAAATCTCACCAGGCTCAAGGTTGACTCAGCCTTCTATCCTTCCGAGGTAGGTAAAATGAGGATCCGGATTGTGAGGGCAATAAGCTGACTTTGTATAAAAAAGAACTCCGCATGGGGGGGAGCCAAAAGCCCTACTAAGCAGGTATATACAAAAGTATGAAGGCTATTGCTTAACGCATTGTAAGACGCCCTGAGTCTCCAGAGAAGGGCGGCATATAAATTGAACCAATAAATGAATGAATGAATGAATGAATGAATGAATGAATGAATGAATGTATGTCAGGAGGACCATTCTGACTGTATGAGCTGCCATCTACAATAACAGAGACTGTAGAACAAGCTGTCATAGAAGTGATGAGGTTTTTTTTCCAGTGAAGTTCTTCAGCGGAGATGGGTGAACATCTAGCAGATCTTGCATTGAATAGATAACCTCTTATGATCCTCTCAGTTCTATTCTGTGAGAGATCATCAGAGAAGGAAGAGTACTATAGATTCATTACCAGCTGTGTTTAGATGATTGGTATGCCTTGAAATTGGTTGCCCCAGGGGTAGTTTAGAAAAGAGCTTTGGATTGATTGGCTTTCAGGTTGTTTATAATTCTGAGCAGTCTCAGGGACGAGAGTCCACCACCCATCTAAGAGCTGGAGTAATTGATTCTCCTACTCCGCTTTTAATGGATTGGGAATTAGTGATTCTGAACTAAGTTATATCATGGTTGGTTTTTTAAAGAAAGGTTTTCCCTGCCTCCATGAGTCATTAGAATACTTAGAGTCCATCACTTCTGTCTTATCCCACATGCACTTAAAACTAATCCAGAATATTCATATTTTATCAAGAACCCACTTAATCACTGAGTATAAAAGGTGATAGAGACATGCAATCTAATGCACCCAGGGAAACTATGATGCACTGTGATTTGGTTTATTCAAATTTAGTAGCGCAGACTTTTACTGATTTTTATGTAAATTAGGTTAATTTGGTTTTATAAAAGGAAAAAAAGTAGAATGAATTTTTTTGGCTGAGTGATCAGCAAGTAATAATTGAGTTTATCAGCCTCTTTAAAAATAGGAGGTCATAATTCTGTAAATCAGTTGGATTACATTCAAGTAATTGTGTGCTGGATTCGTGTATATTTTCTTGATGGCAGACAAGACATTGCAGTATCTTGTCAGGCAGAAAAATTGTAATACCTTATGATTGTAGTTTTTAAACGAATCTTATTCTATTTCTTCATTTTTTGGTTTGGATAGTATACTTCTCTTTAAATATTTCAATACAATAATTTATATGATGTTTATGTATCTTCTTTGAACTGTCTTTTTTTTAAATCTGGGAAACAAATCATATGAAGAAAAAGTTTTAAATTTCTCAAAATAGTAGACAAGTTCCAAAATTATTATGTATGTCAGCGTTTTTTGTTCATCCCTGAAATTAGTCTCTGCATATGCAACCTTTTTTCCTAGCCCCTCTCCCTTTTGAATTTTAATTTAAGATGACATTACTGTTACTTTCCTGGAATATAAAAGATTTAAATATTCTAATAAGTATTAAATTGTGCTATTAAAAATGTCACATTGCTTTTTTACAAGAAACATATTCCACAAAGGAAATATATATGCAGGACATTTATAATTGTGTATCTTTGTGGAAATTCAGCATTTACTAGGTCTATAGGGTCTCTGATTTACTGCTTTAATCATAAAACAATAAGTGATCCAGAACAATTTTTAACAATGGTCATTAAATAATGCACTACATGTACTGAACTTTAGGGTCTAAGGATTATCCAGATATATCACACAGGAGTTTTAACACTTTTTTACTTTAGTAGAGGAGATTGGATAGCTTCTTTATTAAATAACAATATTATCCCACCTAAATTTAATCCCTGAAATGGAAAATTTTGCACATTTTTACATTAGAATTTAATATAGGCATAGTAGCTTTTAAATTCACCATAGCAAGATCTTACTAAACTCCAGATTTGTTCCCAATTCAATTATTTTTTAGTATTTTGGGGTTTGGTTGAATGGATGGATAAACATGCTTTAAAATTTTCTGCCTAGATTTCCATAGATTCAGTAGTTTGTAATCTAGTGACTATTTTATATATCATTAAAGCATCATGGTTGTATTATTATGATTCATGAAAAAATTAAAGCAGAAATTTTGAGAAAAAGAATAAATTTTTCTGTATCCAAAGGTAATAATGCACCCACATTACATAAAGGTTTTTGGATTATAGGACATGTAATTAATTCCCTCTGTACTCTTTATTGGTAGTGGGAAGAAAGACCCAATAAACTACTGGTCCCTTGATAAATGCAGTTAAACCAATATTTCTATTATCAAAGACGTTGGGATAAAATATGTAATAATTCCAATTTAACCAATAATTAGTGATACTATTTCATCTATGAAAGCAGGAAAAGTTCTAAGCCTGATGACTTATCACATTGACTATCACATACCTACATATTCACCGAAATTCCAGTATAATTGGAAGTATTAATTTATAATACTTTTCTTGAAAAACATTTTTCCTAGCCTCTGCTAGTGAGCCTTAAATAGCTGTGATTTTGATAGCTTCTAAAGAACCTGTTGACTATAAAACTTTCTTAATACTGATGCCAAAACAACTGACTCTGACTCCGTCATGCAGTTTTCAGATAATACGATTCTTGATTATCTATCTAGCACCTATCTGGTTTTATAAAAATAAAAGTGTCTTATAATACTATGTTACTAATATAATGGATATATACTTCATAAAAATTGAAATCAATAACAATTTCATAATTGTAAGAGAAAAAGCCTTTGATGTTGATGTAAGTTGTTCATTTAAAATTTTAAATCAACCTACTTTAGATGGCTTGTATTATAACCAATTATAACCAACACACCAACTAAATCAACACAAAAACATGGGCAATTTCATTCTATGCCAACTGTAATTTCCAAGTAATCTTCAAGAATAGCTCCATGTAGATTGAATTATAGGTATTTTAACTAGGAACTGATGAAGGTATGAGTCACCATTGCCATGACTCCTAGTCCAAGAAAATTCACGATTGGTGAAGCAATTGGACGTAACCAAAGATTCATCTTACCATGAAACACATTCTGTTTTCATAGGAGGTTTTGAAACTAAGAGAATTCCCAGATTGTGGCCAAAATCTTCAGATTATCTCAGCCAAAGCTGTCTGAACTATTTTGGTACAAGAGGGCCTCTTTTTGTAATAGTAGCTCCTTGCTGAGGTGGTCCTGAATTTGTTCCTTCATATGGATTCAGATGAAACTTTTGAAACAAGACTTGGTCAAATACAGACTTTTTATTTTTAAACATTAATTAGATTAATACATCTAGTATTAATCCACATCTAGTTCTTAAATCTAGTATTGTTATGACAATGGAAATATTTTCATCAATATGTGTTGTGGATCTCATCATCATTATCTTAAACTGCTACTGGATATTTTTTTCTTTCTCTCTCTCTTTCTTAAAACAATAAAAAATGTTCCACAAAGAGCAGAGATGCATTTGAAAATTCTTCCCTTTTCTAGAGCTTGTGATGACACCTCTGTTGAGAAATAATGGTAGTAATTGCCTACTGCAATCTTTTTTAATATGTTGCTCTTCAAATGACTTACCCCAAGCTAGCAGTCATTGGAAACAGAAACTGGTCTAGTGGTTAATGCAAGAAACTGGGAGATTGTGTACAATTTTTGTGTACAATTTTTGAAGTATCATTTTGAACTAGTTCTCTGCCCTATGGTCATCAGCTATAGTAACACCAATCTTTAAAAAGGGTGACCCTAATTCAGTACAAAGTTATAGAACAATCTCTCTGTACTGTGTTACATGCAAAGTTATGGAACCAATTATAAACCAATCCATCATTCGCCACTTAGAAACAAACAACTTGCTATCCGACAGTTTGACTTTAGGAAAAACATGTCCTGTAATTTACAACTTTTGCACTGTAAAAACATCTGGACTACATATCTTGATCAAGGTAAAGCTGTAGATGCAATTTACATAGATTTTTGTAAGGCTTTTGATACAGTAGTACATGATAAACTGCTGTTGAAATTAAACTCTTACAGCATTTCTGGACCTTTGCACAAGTGGATTGTTGCTTTCCTGTCTAATAGACTGCAGAAAGTCAAAATAGGGAACTCGCTGTCTAATCCTGCATCAGTTAACAGTGGTGTTCCGCAAGGCAATGTTTTAGGTCCCACGCTTTTCTTGCTCTATATCAACGACTTATGTGATCAACTTAAAAGCAGTTGCGTCCTGTTTGCCGATGATATAAAATTATTTAATACTACAGCTAATTCTGTTGTTTTGCAAAGTGATCTCGACTATATGTCTGAATGGT